ACACACACACACACACACACACACACACACACACACACACCCCAAAGCTAATTCCCATTACATGTTAGTAGATAATAGAATTTTAGAACCAGTCCACATAAAACATTCTTTTACTTGCATTATTCCTATGACATGCTTAAAAAGAATTAAGTTTTGGTGGAGCATTAACATAGAGTTTATGGTGAATTTCACATTAGCCTATAAATTATTAAGAAACATTAAGTATGATCTTAAAACTTACACAAAGCAACCTAAGAGCACATTTTATTGATCCTCTGGTACAGTATTTCCTCAAATTGAAATGAGCCAAGTTTCTTTACTAGTTTGTAAAACTTAAGTTTAAAACAGTATACTTGTTGTTCAAACCAAGTATCGGGTTGGTAAAGAAAAGAAAGTTTAAGGAACCCATAGGAAGACTGATTCCCAGGATTCTATGAAGTGGAAAAGCAAGCCAAGTTACACAGTAATGATCAGAATCAGAATTGTAGTATGAAAGCTACACATTTTTTCCTTCACTAGAAATGTACACACAGGCCAGGCTGGGGATGTGGGACAGGTAGAGAGAGCACTTGCCTATGGACAAGGTCCTGCATTCAACTCCCAACACAAGCAAAACCATTATACTTAATTGAAGGAAAAACAAAAATTTAGGTCCTAAGATAACAAACTTTGTACCAGTAAAATAATTTAAAGAAGAGTTGAACTCAATGACTTTGTGAACATAAAACTCTTGTGTCATGCCTACTTACGTAACCACATTAAGTGCAAGGTCAGCAGAATGACATCGCTCCAACTTCTGTTTCAGAACAGCAACTTCTTCAGACCTGGGTGGCTCATACTTTTTTACTAGGTTTCTCATGCCTACATGGAGATTAAAAAAAAAGTATTTAATAATATCTTCTTTCAGCTGGGTATGGTGGTGGCACACAACTTAATCTCTGTACTCCGGAGGAGGCAGAGGCAGGCCGTCTCTTGAGTTTGAGGCCACCATGTTCTATAGAGCAGGTTCCAGGACAGATAGGGCTATACCTGTCTCGAAAAACTAAAAAATAAAGTCTGTTTTCATATAAAGAAAGCACAATAATCTAACTTGCTTTAGGAAACAGACATTGGTGATGCTATACATACTCCAGGATTTGTATTCTATATTAAAATCAAAAAGCACTAGCCTTTTAAGTTCAAGTATCAGGTATTTAAGGATTGTGAAGTAATCTCTGTGATTCAGTAAATATTCTTTATTCACTACCACCAACCATATTCATTAACAGATGGTGACCTAAAAGTCCCAAAAATACACCTGTTTACCAAAAAAGCCCCTAACATATAAAAAAGGGGATGCTTCTGCAACAAAACAAAGCTGCCATAAAAAGATATACTCTAAGATTAAAAACGATCTATAGATCAGTAATTGTAACATAATAAACTATCCTCTAACTTACATTGTTATTCAACATAATAAACCAAATAAAATCTCAAGATTTATTAGGAACATGATGAACAAGTCCAGGGATTTACTGTGTGGTCATGTGTTTCAGACTGGTAGCTAAACTGGAAATTGGTACTTACGATTCAACATCTTCAGGACAATATCTGCCCCCCCCATACCCACACACACACACACACACACACACACACACACACACACACACAAAAGCTGAGTATTTTCTGAAGCACTATCTTTGTGTCATATTTATTAAAAGTGGAACAAAATAAAGATAATGAAAAACCAGTAATTAAATGTTAAGCTTCAAATAAGCAGCATGTTATTCTTATGAACCTTCACCACGTTGTTAGGAAGTATCTATTACCAAATCACAATTAGCTTTGGAAGTGAACCCTCTAGTGGTAAATATGAAGACCTACAGTTTATGCCAAGAAAAAAAAAAAACCAAAAAAACCAACAAACACCTACTCCACTATGCTCAGAGGAAATCCAAAATCACTTCAAACAAATAATCACATCACATGAGAATTGCATACTTTGAATCCCAGTTTTTAAAATAAACAAACATTAAAATGTCTACACATTTACTGTGAAATAAAAGTTTGCACTCCTGTATTTTATTGGTTTACTCACCTTTACATCTGAAGTACATCTCAGTAGCTATGAACATAATTGCCAAGACAATTGATGAACTGAATGTGGTGGCATACCCTATAATCTCAGCACTCACGAAACTGAGGCAAGAGATTCCAAGTTAAATCCAGCCTGGGCTACATTCTCAAAAACACCTATTAGTGATATATATAACCATATACATATGTGTGTGTGTGTGTGTGTGTGCATTATACACCAGTCAGCTAAGCAGATATTCTAATCAGAATTTCTAAAGACAAATTTCTCAACACCAACACTAGTAAGTTTAAGTTGGTGTTTTAAAGCAAGCAAATTATTTTCTTACACTTCAGAGGCCAGGAACCTGAATTCTGTTTCCTTGGGCCAAAATCACAGTATGGGCAGAAAGCCAAATTCTGTTTAGAGGCTCTAATGGAAATCCATTTTGCCTGTTCATTTCTAGTGATTGCCAGCTTTTTTTTTTTTTTTTTTTTTTTTTTTTTTTTGTTAGATTACTTGATTTTTTAAAGCCAAGACCTCACATCTGTTTTGCTGTTAAGACATTGTTTTTACGGATGTTTCAGATTTCTCTCTGCCTTTTGAAAGTTGATGACTTGTGACTACATGTACTTGTCACTTCAATAACTCAAGTCACCATCACCATCTTTTGATGAACCAACCTGCACAACTCTAACTCTTGTGAACTAAGGTAATAGATATAGGTTCCACAGATAGGATATGGACCTCCTTTTAGGGACTAATTTTTAGCAGCATTCATCATGTTTTTTTGTTGTGATGGTTGTTTTTTTGTTTGTTTGCTTGTTTTTTTGGGTTTTGTTTTGGTGGTAGGGTCTGATCCAAGAGCTGGAATGTGCTAGATAAGAGGTCTACCATCAAGTCCCAATCCAGGCCCAGCTGACGAGCTACATTTTTATCAAGCTCCAAGCTGTAACAGTCAATATATCTTCTAAAATTGACACGTCATCCCAATTAACCTAACCTGAAAATTATTGGTTTGTATTAATAACAAAATGACCAGGAAACAACATATATTAACTAGTTAAAATTATTTACAAAACAGAGGTTCCAAATGTAAACCTTACCCTGAAGTTAGTTCTCTTGGGTCTACATGTCTATCACATTATTTATGGATACTTCTAAAAGAACCTTGTTTTGAATCAGCCTTGTCTAAATCTGATATCCATATTGTCTTTCTACACATACAAAGTATTTCCATATACCTTTTATTTATTCTTACCAATGTATCACAACACAACAATTCAATAAACAACACTGCACATTAAATACCAAAACATTTATTCAGAAAGCAGCTTTGTTAACAGCACTTACTTTTCATTATATCCAGTAACTGTGACAGGCATGTTCTATTTTCTCTCAGCATTAGACTCTCTGATAAATAGCTATTGAAGAAAAAGAAAAAAGCATTTTAACTCATTGAAAACACAAAGCACATTGAAAAGACAAGGCATAAATTATTTACTTCCATGTTTATTTTATCAAGTACAGTTTTTAAATTACTTATTTAAATATGACACAATATTAGAAAACTCCACAATACTAAAACCTGCAGCAACTACAGTCTTAAAGATTTAGTACCATTTTTGCTAGCTTAAGAGATGTGTACTGTTACAATTTTATTTAAATTTTATTATATATGGCCTTTCAGAGAAAATAATAGTAATAACAACCAATATTTAGCATTTTATATTAAATATTTAATATAGATAGCACATAAACCTAACTTTATGTCATTCGTGGAGAGTCTGAGCTGTAGATGGGTTAAGCTCAAAGGTAGAAGATAAGGGTACGGCACCACTCAGTTTTCCCTCCATAACGTCATTCTACCTATAGCTGTACTTGAGCATTTACCAACAAGATATCATCTCATGCTTTGCAAATGTGCTAACATTGCTCTGCTCTATGAATGTCTTATAAAGCCTAATTACACTTTGTCTACATTTTAGTTCCTTTGAAATTTTACATACCAAGACATGGTGCATAGGTGCTACAACCCCAAATGAAGATTCTTAGACCCTAGGTCTTTTAAACATAAATATAAAAAGTAACTTTTCTCCCAGGTAAATTAGTTTTAAATGAAGAGTTTTAAGAACTGTTGTTGCTGTATTTAAAACTACTTATATTAAACTATATGCTCATATTAAACTATATATAAAGCATTGGTAACTCCATTACAGATTAACTAGTCTCCTTCCCATTATGTTATACCTTTGCCACCTTCCTTATGGTTTTTTATTCTCCCATTTTTAAACCTTTTTTTTTGAAACGGGGTCTCATGTAGGACCAACAGCATAACTGTTGAGGATTGTCTTTAATTCCTGACCTTCCTGTTTTCATCTTCTATGTGCCTGAATTATACATATGCTGTCTCTTACAGGACAAATCAGTTATTCACATGGATGTCTTTCCTACTTAGCACAGGAGTTCACTCTTCTTTTCCGTAAGTGTAATCTAGCAGAAGCTCACTATAAATGTTTGCCTGGTAAATAAATGGATATAAATCATAATAGGCTTAAATGTAAATAGAGTTGCTTGGAAAAAAAATACTGGGGCTGGAGAGATGTCTCAATGTTTAAAAGTCCATCCTGTTCTTGTAGAAGACCTAAGTCTGGTTTCCAGAACCTGTATCTGGTAGCTCATGACTACCTAACTCTTAACTCCAGGGATCCGACACCCTTTTGCTGGTCTGCAGTTACTTCTTCACATATTTACATTTACACATAGATAAAAGTAAGTAAAAAACAAAGGTATACATATCATAAATAGAAAAGCCTAAGGTCCCTTACCCTGGAGGCAAAAGTGTTTCAAAATTTGTAACTGTTCATAATGTATAAAGCTAGATTGGTATAAATACTGCTTTATGTGAAATATAGCATCTAAGGGTCAGGAATATTGGTACTTCAGTATTAATAAGAAACATTCTCAATAAGAAAGGACAAAAATTAAATCACATGTGCTTATGTTAGTTACTGTCTTATTACTGTATTTTAAAACTGTGAGTATATAAAATAGTTTAAGTTTAGAAAAATTTACCTTCTTCAGCTATTTATAAAAATGAAATAAAAGAATATCAAGAAATAAGAGAAATTATAAATAATAAAAAGTACTATAATGTGGAAAATAACTGGAGTATATTAATATTTCTAATATGTGCATAAGATAATATTAAAAAATCAGGTGAATTTAATCCACATAAAAGTACTCATTATAATGTCTGTGTTTCTGTGTATATACTGGATATTGTTGTTTATAGCTCAACTTTAATTTTCATGTGGATATACCCTAATGCATTAATTCTACAAATCCTTACTGCATGTGTTACACATGCCCTACAACATATGAATGACACAACAGAGCAGATCTGCTGCTTTTACAAGTTCATCCACTTGTAAATCTGTTATACAGCTATAGTTGTTTTCCAAAACTACCTGTTTCACTTCTACCTTAGTCAAAAATATATTATCTTAGCTCAGCAATGATTGATTAAATACTTTCTTTAAAGGCAATTTCATTTCTTCAGTCACAAAGCTTATCAGATATAAGGCATTATATTACACAAAAACAATGGTCTAATGGACCTTAGTTAAAAGCTCGGAAATTTTTCTTAAGAAGTAAAACTGGAACTTAAAGTAAAACAAATTGATACCTTTCCATAGTAATTCCAGCCCTAGAGGCACTCGATAAAATGGCAGTCAGGGCAATTTGTGAAGGTGTGTATAAAAGATAAGCATCTGTCAACGCAATTCTACTAAGAAAATCATCAGCTGTTTTCCTCAAAATCTCTGGATTCTCCAACATGGGGTACCGCGTCTATAAATAAAGTTTACAGATGTTACCATTTCTGAGAGTTTATTGAAGATCAATAACCACTAAAAAAAAAAAAAAATACAGTAACTAGCAGGGACTTAATAAAGCATGATTTTTAAAAAGTAACTCTTTAGCCAGGCGTTGGTGGCACACGCCTTTAATCCCAGCACTCAGGAGGCAGAGGCAGGCGGATCTCTGTGAGTTCAAGGCCAGCCTCATCTACAGAGCGAGTGCCAGGATAGGCTCCAAAGCTACACAGAGAACCCTATCTTGGAAAAAAAAAAGGTAACTCCTTTCCAATGTTCCAAAAACTAATCTTTCAATGTTAGATTATTTGGTATATACTAATAGAACATAGCTAAATTATAGTCATCAATTTCTGAATGTTTCTTTCTGTTTCTCTGATATGGCTTTCAAACATTTTTGGAACCAGTACTACGATTAGAAATATATATTTATAAGAACAAAACAGAAACACATGCTTTAAGATGGTAATACTTAACATTACTATCAATTTGGTCCTTTTCAAAGTTAGAAAGGTAGGCTCCTAGAGTTTTTCTACTGGATTCAAGGCAGACCCAAGATCTACTAGACATACAGTCTCAAGTAAAGAAAGACTAACCAGGCAATCCAGACAATTGTATGGTCAAATTAGGAATTGTTGTGCCACATCACTATCATAGGGAATTTGTTCTAATGCATATTGTGGGAGAAAATAAGTGGAAATGAATGCTGGACCAATCAGCGTTCACAAATATCTACAGAAATATTTTTAAGTCTATGCCCATGAGATCTGGAAGACCTTATACTGCCTATCAGTTACTATGTCTCAATCCCTCAAAAGCACTTGAGATATTCAGTAAGTCCTGAAGCAGTTAAGACAATCTGCAAATATCCTGGAACGAAGTATCTGGTTCCAATGTGGAAACACACACAGGCCTAGTCATCATCCCCAATGTCTGACCCTGAAATAATAAATGCAGTCACTCCACTCTGACTGCACATGTCCCCTTTCTCCGGATTTTAATTTGTTCATGCTGTTCTTGTAAATCTCAGACCATTTGGTTATGAACCCTTCTACCTGATCCCACTTACCAGAGTCTTCAATCATTTCTTTCTTGTACTTTTAAAATTTATTTTTATTTATGTATGTGTGTCTATGTTTGTGTCAGTGTATATAACATGTGCACAGTGCCCACAGGAACAGAAAAGGGTGTCACATATCCTGCAGCTAGAGATACAGGCAGTTCTGAACCACCACATGTGGGTGCTGGAACAGAACTCAGTTCCTCTGGACAGGCAGCAAGCACTTGTAACTGATGAGAAATCTCTCCAGCCCCAATTTCAACAGTATGTGAATCCATTTCTATACTTTTCATTTCTGGGCACTGCCAGAAAAGTGTACAAAAGAGGTCTTGGGAAACGAATATAAATTCAAATTCATTCATTGTGGTATGTCTCTCAACTCAGTCTGCCATGATAATGTTTCCCTAGAAAATTGTTTGCCCATTTGTCAATGTCAATATTTTCTACATATTTGTTTTACTAATCCTCAAAAAGCGTCATTCTGTGGAAAATTATCTCTGTACTTAAGAAGGAAAAGGACTATTTCCACCAAATCCCCAGATACAACAGCATCTTTATCTATCTCTTTCTCATGTCAGCACAATAGCCTGTCCTCTCTCTAAGGCCAATTGTACTCAGTTTCAAACCCCATGCTAACCTCCTGTATATGGTTCATAGAGAGTCCATAGCTATGCTATATGGTCTCTTGTTTCCCCTTTAATCTTCTTCTTATTACTAGCTCCTTGGATCAGTATTTAAACATGTGTCAATCTCTTCTGCACAACTAAATACCTCTACATTCAGCATTTCCTCCATGTTACCTCTTTCCACTTCAAAGAGAAACTGTTTAAGTTATGTAAACAAGTTCTGTTCTACAAAACAATTTTCTATCAATAAGGAATAACAGACTTGAATTCTGCAAGGTTCTAATGCAGCTCAACATTCTCCATCATTTACTGATTTCACAACCATCACAAGTATGTTTGTTTGCAGTTATACTTGTGCAAACAATACTGGGGTTCAGCACAAGACACAAGTATGTACATTGCAGAATTTTGAAAATGATAGGCAACTATGTTAATGGTGCACTATGTATTTTATATTATTATTTTAGTGCATATTCCTTCTACTTAGTAACAAAAAGCTTAATTATAAAACACCTCAGTCAGGTCCATAAATTAAGTAACAGAAGCCACTGTTATGAGAAGTTGGCCAGACACAATTCTGAGTTCTGGGACTCTCCTTCCTTTTTGTCTTAAAAAATGTTTTCTTTTACTTACTTTTATGCATATGAAGTGTATGGTTATTTTGCCTGCATGTATGAATGCATGTCTGTGCACAACATGCATGCCTGGTGCTCAAGAGGGACAGAAGACAGAAGGTGGCACTGGATCCCTTGGAACTGAAGTTACAGGCAATTATTAGCTGCCATGTGGGTGCTGGGAATCGAACCCTGTGAAGGCTGAAAGAGCAGTCAGCACTTTTAACTGGTAAGCCATCTCTACAGCCAGTTCTCTTTCAATTAATTCCCCCCAAATCACCAACCTGCTTTTTTTTTCTTCTTCTACACTTTAAAGACAAATTTTGACAAAATCATAAATGACCTTTCTGGCACTAAACTCAGCAAACATTATTAACCTAACTTTTTGTTGCCTGATCTAAGCAGAATTAGAAAGTTGCTATGCTTTCTTACAAAATAATACTCTATTTCCCTTTTATTTTCCCAACAAATCCTACAACTCTGGATAAATTTTAGTCCCCTTTCAAGTTTCTTCATTGCTCAACTACCCTTTAACCTCAAATATTTCTCAGGCCTAGTCCTCACTGTATCCCTTTGCCCGTTCTGTTCCACTCTCCTCATAATGCTAGACACATACAAATGTCCAATATCATCTGATGCTGTGATGGCTGTTGTGGTCGCCAACTTGACTACATCTGGAATTAACTGAATCCCAAAACTGGCTGGGCACACCTGTGAGGGATTTTTGCTTAATTAAATCATTTGAAGGGGAAGATCCCCTTCTAATCCAGATCATCTAAGGTGGAAAGATCTGCCTCTAATCTGTGTCACAACTTCTGCTAGAAGCCTATAAGGACATGGAAGAATGAAGCTCCTCTTTTTGCCTGCTTGCCCTGGCCTTGTTGAGAAGTCCATTCCTTCACTGGCATTAGAACCTACTTCATTGGCATTCTGGTGTACACTGAAGATCAGCTGAGACACCCAGCTTCATGGACTGAACAACTACTGGATCGTTGACTTTACATTCATAGAAAGCCATTGTGGGATTAGCTGGAACACAACCTGCCCCCAGATTCTATTACTATTGAGAACCCTGACTAATATAGGTGCACACTAACCTGTGAGACTGACAACATGCAATTTTCTTCACATTGAAACCCAATCATACCAATTTTCTAAATAAGACTTTCACTCTCTTCTTTATACTTTGTTCAAAATTTTCAACATTACTTAGTCTAGACTTTTGCTTTTCATTTAAACCATAACCCTCTCCCTGTCTATCCCCAGGCTTTTCATTTCTTAAGAGTTGTGGATATGGGCTCTCTGGGTGGGATGTTCTTTTTGCACCTCATTACTACTCTTGATTTGAATAAATAATTATCTAAAATATTAAACTGTAAGGTCATGTCCTATCTCCTTTCTAGGCTGCACCCTCAACACGTTAGCATAAACAGAATATCCATAGCTGCTTAACTGAGAATAAACAGTTGTTGACATTTCTTCAACTTTAGACTAGTCAACAACTTGACTATGTCAATATTTACATATGGATCAACATGTGGCACATGTAAATCCATAAATATAAGTTCTATACATGAAATATGCACATTTTGTGAAACAGTATCACTACATTGCAAGGCTAGTCTCAAACCTCCAAATTCACATGATCTAAACGACGAGTCTAAACTTCCTGAGGACCTAAGGCTACAGGTGTCAGCTATTTACTTATTATTTCGATGTTTATATTTGTGACCTGAGTTCATAAAACATTAAACATAGGAGTCATTTACCTTTTAGTTTAATACTAAGAACTTTTTAAGGTTCTGTAAGTCTCTAGGTCTAAATCTATGACAATATACATCAAACAGAAGTTACCATAATTCTTTAAGATCATTACTATAAACTTACAGTCTAGTACAATGGATTACTAAGCCAGAAACCTGGAAATTCTTACCTAACCTTCTAAGATAGCCAACTCTTCATGCACCTATGTTGTACCACTTAGAATATTACTGGCTATAAAGTTTTCAATTCTTTTTAGCAAATAATAACAAAGGAGTACATTAGCTAATTTCCTATCAGTAAAGTTTACCTTTATATCAATGAGGAAGCCTTCAAATGGTCGATAAGGATTGTGGACAATAAGGTGAAAATTAAGCTGCTGTATAAGTAGTAATTCATATTCCAAAATTTGCTCTAGCGCTTTCTCCTGTCCCAGGGGACTCTCTCGAAGATTTCCAACAAATTGAGGACTAGACACATTGAATTCATCTACTTTGCAGGCCAGAAATGCACAAGTGAGCCTACATGAAGAAATAAAGGAGGGCAAAAATACCTAAATGTTCCTTTAAGTACTTTGCAAATTGCTTAATATTTACATGTGACTATGCTAGACCCTGCAGGCAATTAAAAAAAAAAAATACAGGTTGAAATGAATTCCTCTTCACACTTTTATCTATTAGGAAACTTAGGAGAAACTATAAGTAGAGCCATCATCTAATACTGCTACAGCATTTAGCCACCATTAATGTAATGGTAGCTTCATATAGTCCAGCCAGAAACTTGGAAAAAAAAATAACTAAGTTGTGTGTATCAAGAAATATAAATGGAAGAATTAACTTAAAAACAGAATAGTACACATGTATGTACTTTGTGACAAAAGAAGACAGGTAAAGATAATTAACATTGCAGAAGGTCATACTGATAAGTCTCAAGTTACTTGAGAACAGAGTTACCAGCTTATGGACAAGCATGAACTTCACCTGAGTACTAAGTTCAGAGAGGGGAACTAGTAGGAAGCTACTACTCACAGCTTTTAGAAGCTGAGGTCAAAATAAAACCCTAAGCTTGACTGCTAAGAATGAAATGGGAAAAACAACAACAAAAACAAAAACATGAATGACAGCAAACTCTGATGAGTCCTATATTAATTCTGTCCTCATCTTTAATGTTAAGCATAATGCTTAGCAAAGAGAAGAAACAAAACACACCCGTGTTTAACCGAAATTAATATGAAGCTATAGGATCTGTAAACTGATGGAAGTGAAGAGAAATTTCCATGAATGATTTTTAGCCTGAGAACTGGGAGAATAAAGATGTCACTGATAGTGACATTAGTAAAACAGCTAGGTTTAAGAAAAACTTTGAGAATGGTAGACAAGTTGCAGTTCAGATACCATTAGTGATATAGAAGATAATGGCAAGTAAGGAGACCTTATCCTCACAGCCGGGCGTTGGTGGCACATGCCTTTAATCCCAGCACTCAGGAGGAGACAGAGGCAGGTGGATCTCTGTGAGTTCGAGGCCAGCCTGAAGCTACAAAAAAAAACCCTGTCTAAAAAAAAAAAAAAAAATTCAAGTCTGAATTGTACTTAAGAAGTCAATTATCTCATATACATCCCACAGTCAAATGTCCACACATTACAAACATCTTTAATGAAAACATAAAGACAAAATTTTATACTCACATTATTATCCGGGGGTGATATTCCATTACTGAATTATTAAGATAAAAACGCTTGAAATACATACAAGCTGTACCCTAAGATTAAAAGAAAAATATACACATCTATAAAAGTAAGATCTGCTTACATGCTACATGTTAAATTTTGAAAACAATAACTTATTCATGCGCAGGTTTCCCTGAAAAGGTTCCCCATACCAATACTTCTGAATTTTGTTTTAATCAGAATAAACTGTGGTAAAGAACAACAAAACACCATAATCAAAAGAGCCTCTTTTACCTTTTAGACATTTGTCCTCAGGCTATATGGAGTAACTCTTTCACTCAATTTAATCACTCGTGGGTTTCAGATTGGCTGTTGGTGTGTGTGTGTGTGTGTGTGTGTGTGTGTGTGTGTGTGTTTATTTAGGTTAGAATTCAGAGCAACATGAACACTTAAAATCAGAAAATGTTAAGGACTAAAATACCAGTGATCACAGGTTACCCAATCTTGGAAAAAAATGCAAACAGAATAACATGACTGAAGCAAAAGGCCTTTTCTTTGTCAACTCCAGATCTGTGATGAACAATGACTGCTGCAAAACTATACCACCTCACACTACCTGAGTATAGCCCTTCAATAAGCCCCACTGTGCCAAGTTCAAAAGGACCAATCTATCCCAATCCTTATAACACATTAGTAAAATATTGCTATCTCCATGGAAAAAGAATAGTATCACAATTTATCTGATATCAAGGGTCACAGGCTAAACTCAACTAAGAACTACCTGTAGCTTCAACTATTCTTTCATTTGACAAAACAGTAACCATTTATTTATTTGATAATAGGAAAAATCCTTCATTTAAATGCTTAGAAATTTGCTATCAATTTATGTTAAAAACAAAAAATTATATCCTTTGAATAAATAAATTTTGTAAAGTTCATTCAAAAATTGCTTGACCCAAAGAAATAATTTAATCCTACCATCTCATTCTACAGTTCCTGTAATGAAACAGACAAAACCCAAATTTCATCATAGAAACTATCAACTGTATCTGATATTGTTTATGAATGTTTCACCTCTCAGATAAGTCTGCAACTTAAAAATGAACCATAAATCCATGTGTATTTAATACTTTCAATGTTCTTCCACTTTTTTTTCTACTATAAAAATGGAGGATCCTAGATAGTTCTCTGTTGGGTCATAAATCATTCACTCTTTGAAACTTTAAAAACAGCCTTTCATAATTGACCTTTACAACTAAGTAATAAGAAAGGTAGTGGTGCTTTAGACAGCCTCAAGACCAGCTTTTTTCTTTGTTTCTAATACCACTGCCCACCCCAGTAGAAAAAACAACACTAAGAATCATATAAACTAATCCTGAGACATTTAAGCCTGGGATATAGCTCAGTTGGTAGTGTGCCTGCCAGGCATACATGCACTCCGGGTTTGATCCCTAGTACTAACAAAAACCAGATTTGCAGTGCCTACAATCCCAGCATTTGAGGTTGAAGCACTATCCCCAATTCAAGGTCATCTCTGGAACATAATGAATTCAGGGCCAATGTGACCTGTAGACCATCGAAAGAAAAACAAACAAAAACAACAACAACAAAAAAAAAACCACACCAAAAAACCAATAATAAAACCAAAGATAAACCTCTAACAACTTCTACTAAAAGTTTCAAATGATCTTATGGCAGAAGTTGCAGCTGGAACATAATGGATGGTTTCAAACAGAAACTGAGTTTAGCAGAATTGAAAAAGTACTAGTTTAGAAGAAACCATTCTGAGAGAGGTAACCCAGTCACAAAAACACAAACAGGGTATGACTCACCAATATATGGATTCTAGACATAGAGCAAAGAATTACCAGCCCACAATCCACACCACCAGAGAAGCTAGGAAACAAGGACTCTAAGAGAGACATACATGGTCCCCTGGAGAAGGGGAAAGGGACAAGATCTCCTGAGAAAATTGGAAGCATGAGGAGAGGGGAGAGGGAACTAGGAGAATGAGAAGGGGAGAAGAGGAGTAAGGAGTACATGAGGGAGCAGGAAGTTTGAGTTGGGGCAAGAACAGAAGAGAGCAAGATAAGAGATACCATAATTAAGGGAGCCATTATAGGCTTAAAGAGAAATCAGGCACTAAGGAAATGTCTGTAGATCTACAATGATGACACCAACTAACAATCTAAGCAACAGAGGAGAGGCTACCTTAAATGGCCTCCCCTGATAATGAGATTGATGACTGACTTATATGCCATCCTTTATCCTTCACCCGGCAGCTGGTGAAAGTGGAAGCAGACACCACAGCTAAACACTGAACTGGAATCCAGTTGCAGAGAAGAAGGAATGATGAGCAAAGTGGTCCACACCAGGCTAATGAAACCCACAGAAACAGCTGACCTGAACAAGGGAGAACTCTTGGTTCCCAGGCTGATAACTGGGAAACCAGCATGGGTCTGATCCGGACCCCATGAATGTGTCAGTAAGGAGACCTTGGAAGTCTATGGGGCCTTTTGTAGTAGATCAGTACTTTCCCTAGAATAGGAATAGACTTCGGGAGCCCATTCCACATAGAGAGATACTCCCTGAGCCTAGACACAAGGGGGTGGGCCTAGGCCCTATTCCAAAGGATATGACACACTCAGAAGACCCCATATAGAAGGTCTCACCCTCCCTGGGGAGCAAAAAGGGTATGGGATAGGTAGGGTGTTAGTTGTGTGTGTGGGGGGGGGCAGGGGAGAAGGGAAGGCAGAGGGAACTGGGATTGACATGTAAAATAATCTTGATTCTAATTTAAATAAAAAAATGGAAAGAAAAAAGAAAGAAAAAGCACTAGTTTATAGTCTAGTCCCAATTCTACTATCTCTAGTAAAGAATCCAAAAAATGAGGATGTTACCAACTGTACAGCAGACCATGAAATGACATTGGAGCTGCCCTTATTGACAAAACACAGCACTTAGGATTTAAGGCCTTTATTTAACAATCTCACAAAAATTAGTTTTTCTCACTCATTATACTGATACATGTATGAATAGATCCATATTTAAAAAAAAAAAAAACTACAGCTAATTCATATACACTTTACTTAGGTCCTTATAGTGGCTAACTATCCACTGAAATTCAAGCCTTGACACAGAGAACTAAGCATCTAGTCAGAAGGCACATTCCCCAGTCTTTCGTCTCTCACTTTGCAGCCCGGAGCTCAAACAGTGGATATACCTTCTCCACAGTTCCCTCTTATCCTACCAGAAGCAGAGGGTTACTAGGTGAGACATGCTAGAGTCACAAGAGGGCCACACTGTGAGAGGAAATTAATTACTGGATTTGTTTTTCTTTTGCCATTATGTAGTTTGGGGCCTATTTAGTTCTATAATTAAGACTACTTTAACCTAAAGGATAACTTATCATAAATAAAATTTCGATACTTGAGAAACAAGGTGACAAAAATAAACACAACTAAGCTGAGTCTTGTAGAGTGAAGAGAGCTCAGTTCTCACAAGCCTGCTAAGAGGCACTATACTTCACTCCCAGGACTTACCACAACAGACCGTGGCATTGCTGGTTTAAACACCGAACAGAATTCCAGCAATCTTTTCTCATAGTATTTGCACAGTGTAATTTCTTCATAAGGCTCAAGAAACACTGGATCATTTGGAAGAACCTTTAAAGAGAGCAAACATTTCATTATAATTTCAGTGAATTAACTTTAAAACTGTCTTCTCTGCCCTGCTAAAATTTGATTTGTATCTTCAAGAAAGGGAAAATACCTCATATCATTTTCTCTTTGTAGGTTTGCTAATTATTACACAAAATATATTAGAAAATAAGCAAAATAAATAAACTGAATCTAAATCATCATCTCTCAATTTTCCAAAATATCAGTTGGACATTTTAAAACAATCATGACAGAACATGTGCCAATATGCTCCCAGGTTTAATACCATTATTTGTAAATCGGTACTATTTTCACTGGTTGGAAATCTCCCAAATTCCCTTTCTCAGTGAATCACTATGTCACCCAAATTAAAGAACACAGCAACAAATTACTATATTTGCTACCTCGTTGTATTGGGAGTGCAAATATTATTTACTTGAAATCTGTAGGAGCTAGTATAAAGCCACCACAGGTCATTACAACAGAAATGGGTGGGAGAGTTTTAAGAAAGCCTGGACAGAGGGCCACAGGCCATCCCATGCTCAACTGGCTTGTGTCAACTGTCTATTTCCTTTCCTTGTGCAACCTTGTGCATGAAGGTTGTTTTCGGAAAGTAGCTCCAACAAGCCATCATTTCCCCATTTCAAGCCTTGGAAAAGCTCCCTTCAGTTTCCGCCCAAGTTTCAGCCTCATGCTTCCGTTTACGAGTTCCTTGCCTACGTTCCCCAACCACTGCTGCACAGGTACAGCTTCGCCCACAAACGGCCACGAGCGCTCTATGCACCCGCCTGGGATTCTGCCTTTCCACCGGGACCATCCTTTGCCCCTTTTATCACTCCTGAGAAAAGTTAGTCCCGACGTCCTGCAGGACAAGAGACCAGTTCGAGTCCCTGACTACCTCCGCACCCCACCAAGGGTGTTACTCGTCCCTGTCACGGCCAGCCTGGGTCGCGCGTCTGTCAGCACTGACCGCAGCCTGGTGTGCGCTCTGTTCGCCCGCCCGCCCGCAGGAAGCGAGGGTTCAGGAGACCCCGCAAATTCCCGAAGCCACTCCAGGTGGGCGCAGAGGCTGGCTTGCGGGGGCCTCACCTTCCCGTTAGCCACCGCTTTGCACTTGAATTTGCGGTTGGCGTCGGCCCGCAGGCGCGCCAGCTGCTCCTCGCCGGCGAAGGTCCAGTGCCGCTTCTGGCTGCTGCTGTGGTACATGCTGCTGCCCTGGCGGGACGCAAGGCCGACACAGCAACAGCGACGCGTCAGGAGACCGCGGCCACGCGCGAGCGTGAGGGCGCGCGGCCCAGACCCGAGACGCGTGCGTGACGTCACGGTCACGTGTCGACGTCGCTGAGGCGTTTCCGGAGCCCGTAGGAGGTGTTCCGCGGCGCCGGAGGGCGGAGCCTCGGAGCTCCCGGCCTTTGGGGCGGGGCGGGAGCCTGAGAGGCGTTGCCAGGCACACTCAGAAAGTGGGCGTGGCCACGGGGACCAACGCCGCACAGACAAGGAGAGAGGAAGGTTCCAGAGCGCTGGCAGGAGCCATCCTCACAGGATGTTCCCGCGTTACACAAGGCCTGAGCCCTTCAGGCTTAAAGCCGGCGCCGTGGAAGAGGCTGCAGCGAGGGACATGGTTGGAAAATGGAGCGCTAGAGGCATATTCGTGCTAAGGCTAACACGACCTTTCTCTGGGCGGTTTCCAGTACCTCCCGGTATTCGGATCTCTGAAGCCAAAGTGGATGATTCTTTCACAGTTCTTGGTGTTCCCATCCCCATCACTGCTTTAAGTGAATCGTAATAATAAACTAGCAAAATGCTTAAGAGATTTATCTTTGTTTTTGTTATTAGGGCTTTCAAAATTGCATTTGAGATGCTAAATTTACATTGGTTCCAAAAGCCTTCAGTTTTGTTTTTTCCCTTTTCCAGAGGCAGAGTACAAAGTCCCCCGCCTTCTCTCACTATGTACTAGAAGTCACTATTTAGTTCAGGGTGGTTTCAAACTTATGATCCTACTGTCTAATCCTCTCAAATTCTGCGAACACAGGCATGCATAGCCACACCCACTGCATCTTATCTTCAGATCACATTTTACTGCCTCTAAATGGAGGTTATTTTATCAAAACATGCTCTAGTCTTCCTAGAATAGGAACATGTAAATTCAAAACTGATGACAAAGATGCTAACGATATTTGATGAAAATTAGGCAACACTAAGAAGTAAGAGATTAACAGGAAAATGTTCAGTGGTTTTTAAAAACAAACACAATTGTCTTTGTGCTGCAGTTTTTAAAATTGGGCTATGTATTATTTGTAGACAGATTCTAAATATTAGGAGTGCCTATATTACCTGCAATCTAAGACTTGCAATCAGAGATATGGCTTTACGGAGCACTTGTTACCTGTTGAAATGCTCTTCACCCTTTGCTAAAGGGACTTGCAAGAGCACAGTATGCTCTTCACCCTTTGCTAAAGGGACTTGCAAGAGCACAGTATGTTCTTCACCCTTTGCTAAAGGGACTTGCAAGAGCACAGTATTGGGAATTTCTTTCTTGCTTTGGGGAAATCTCCCCATTTTTTAAAAGACTTATCCTAGTGACCCTAATGCTGTGAGAAAATTAAAGCATCTGAGACTATTCTCACTGCAAAAGGAAGAAAAGGAACCAGAAGAAGAAGGTATCAATCTTATTTATGCAACTTGGAATCATTTTTTTGCATGTGTGTTTGTGTGTATTGTGTGAGTGCATGCATGTTTACAAGTGTGGCATGCATGGGAAAGCCCAAAGTTGATGGTAGGTGTTGTCCTCAATTTCTCTCCGATGTATTTATTCAAACATCATTTCAGTGAAACCAGCGCTCACCAGTTCCTGCTAGGCTAGCTAGTCAGGCTACCCTAGAGATCACCCATCTCTGTCTTCAGAGTGATGGGCAGGGTTACAGGTACTCAACAGGCATGCTAGGTTTTCACTTGAGTTCTGGGCATCCTAACTCTGGTTCTCACATTTGAAAAGCAAACACTTAATCTACTGGGCCATCCCCCATCCCCAACTTAGAGTATTTTAAAGTCAAATCTTGTATAAATTTCTTTGACTTATTGCCTTTATTTCACTGGCACACAGCTTCTGATTTCAGAGACACACAACAAAGGGAGGCTATAGAGAAAAGAATGAAGCCAGGAGTGGTGGTGAATGTCTGTAATCTCAGCATGGAGGAGTCGGTGGCAGAAGGATCAAGAATTAAAAGCCAACTGTGTAATGAGTTTCAGGGCTGTCTGGGCTACATGACACTCTTATCTGAATTTTTGTTTTTAAGGAAAAGAATGAATTGCATTTAAGCTCAGAGAAATAATATACTTTGAAATTTGACATGTTACCATATTCTTTTAGCTATTGATGTAGGTTTCTAATGTTTTATTTATTTTTAATTTTTTATTTTATGTAGATTGGTGTTTTGCCTGCATGAATGAGTTTCTTTATGAGGGTATTGGATCCTCTGGAACAGGAGTTATGGACAGTTATTAGCTGCCATGTGGGTGCTGGGAATTGAACCCGGGTCCTCTGGAAGAATAGTCAGTGCTCTTAACCACTGAGCCACCTCTTCAGCCCTCTAATGTTTTAAATACAGACGTCCATATTACTTGTAAAACCATTAAATTAATTGCAATTCTATTTTTCTGCCATTCAATTAACATTGATTCTAAAATCGTTCTCCTAGTCTTTGAAGTTAGCACTAAAAGAAAAGGAGCCATCTATAGCAAATGCTTACTTTCTCCCAAACAGACCAAAACTAAGGGTAAAAAAAAATATCTAGGATCTAATGGGGTCTCAGTGGCACAGCCTGTGATGCCTGCTACTTAGAAGGTTGAGGCAGAAAGATGAAAGTCCAATCTCAGTCTGGGTAACTTCGTGACATTCTATATCAAAATAAGTGAAAGGAGAGCTGAGAATAGTGCACTTGAGTATAGTGAACAAGAGGTATAGGACATGTAGGTATAAATTTACATATGCCTAAATGTAGTCTGTTCGGTCCAGGTAACGTTACTTGGGTATTTTCAGGGCTGCTCACTTGGCACTGGACAGTGGTGTGCTCTTTCCAGGGGAGGACTACCTGTCTTGGTCCTAGCTGCCTATAGTTCTTGGTGAATGGTTGAAAGTTCATAGCTTTTTCCTGTCAAGCTTGGCATATCCATCAGTGTCATCCTTGTTCCACTCACATTTAGGCAGTCATATTGGTGACACATCAAGGTATAGCTTCTGATATTACTGAGGAGACCCAATATCACAGCAAACTCCCCAATCTTCTGGGTCTTATAATCTTTCCACCCCATCTTCTGCAATGTTCCCTGAGCCTTTTATATGGATTGTTTTGTAGGTGTATTTATTCATTTGTACTGGGTTCTGCAATTTGACATTTTGATTGGTCATGGTTTTCTATAGTAGACACCATCTATTGCAAAGAGAAGTTTCCTTAATCAGGGAAGGGTGAAAACTACAGTGATCTGTAGGTATAAAGCTAAATGTTTACAGATGGTTGTTAAGTATTATGCTGGTTTAATAATGAGTAGTGTAGATTCTCCTCCATTAACAATGACTTCCTGAGCACAGATCAGTTAACCAGGTTTCCAGTACCAGGAATGGTTTCCCTTTGATGGATGTATTTTGTAACCTTTTTGTAAGCATTACAGCTTGGATGGAAAGGTATCCTGGCAGTCAGGAGCCAAGGGATTCCAAAAAGTCACTCTGCACAAATGTAGGATGAAAGGGCCAGCCAAAGAAGCACACCCTGGTCCTGAAACTAGATCCAAAAGGCTAAAAATGGCCAGTGAAAAAAACACACTTTGGCCTTGAAACCAGAGCCAAAGAAACATGCTGCCCCTGACTACCTCAGCACAAAAACTAACCAATCCCTAAACAGGAAAACCAATCAATCCCTGAGCAGGAAAACCAACTAATCCCTGAGCATGAAATCCAGCCAATCACTGAGCTTGTCCAAACTCAGGGATTGAAATCTGGCCAATTCCCACCCTGAAAACCCTCACCCTGGAAAAACTCCATCCCTAAAAAGTTCTCTGTAAGCCCTATGACTGTTCAGTTGGGAACTGCCTTTTTCTACTCTGACAGAGGCAGCTGTCCTCCTGGATTTTTCCTGGATTCTTGAATGAGATTTGGGTGAGACCTTTCCAGGAATGGGCATGAGCAGAAAAGTAACAACTTTCCTTGAGCTGGAGCAGAGTTGGGTGGGGCAAGGCAGGACAGGGTACAGCAGAGCTGTAACACTTTCTCTGGGGAAACCTTCCTTTGCCAGAGCAGACTTGTTACATTGGGAAAACTGTAACACAATAAATAAACGACCCAGAGACAGATATTGTGATTCAAACTTCAGGCTGAAAATCAGAAAAACAAAGCAGCCAGTCACTATCTTTTACCTCTAGCTGGGACATAAAGGGCTGATCCACGAGCACTCCAGTGGCTCAAGGGGCTTACACTTTTGACTAGGGGCTGTTTCACAGTAGAACCTTGAATAAATTTATTCATTGTAGAATCTAGTATGAGCAAGAATCCTGGTAATTAAATTTGACAAGCCCATGCCCTTTATGAGTTGCCATTCTTAATATACAAAGAGGTACAAAGTACAAGATATATCTGAAGATTAGCTTAGAAATGAGGTGAGTTGCCTGAATATTACATATTAAAGTAAGAAGGTTACCAAATGGCTTTGGCTGAGTTCATATGAATAACATTTTCTTTTTGAGACAAGAGCATATGAAACTTAGGTCTCAAACTCACTGTGTAGTTGAGAATGGTGAGCTCCTGATCCTACGGCCTACACCTTCTGTGTGCTGGGGTTATAGAAGGCCTGGGCCACAATGCTGTTTAGGCAGATGCTGATGGGTTAAGGCTTCCGCTTGAGTTATTGTTACCTTACCTTTGAGTTATTGTTACCTTACCTTTGAAGTTGCTGGATTTTGTTTCCACTAAGTCCCTCCAGAAAACATATAATGAAGCAACTAAAGCCATGTGTTACTTTGACTCACTGTTTTTATATGCTGTGGAGAAAACTGTGTTACTGGATTAGTAAAGTATCTATCTACCAGATGCATTCCAGATACCATTATTTTTTTGTTTTGTTTTTTGTTGTGTTTTGATTTTTTTTTTCGAGACAGGGTTTCCCTGTGGCTTTGGAGGCTGTCCTGGAACTGGCTTTTGTAGACCAGGCTGGTCTCCAACTCACAGAGATCCGCCTGCCTCTGCCTCCTGAGTGCTGGGATTAAAGGCGTACACCACCGCCGCCATTTTGTTTTGAGCATGCATACATGTGGACATGAGGTGTGCGTGATCAGAACT